CGTCAACGAAGGTAAGTTAAATATTGATTTTATAATTGCTTTAAAACCCGACGGCCTAATTGGGTATATGAAACAACTAAACAAGACAGCATATAATTTCAGTTCTATCTTTAATATTGATTCCCTATTTTACTATATTGAATTTTTTAAATAAAAAGAAAGCATGAGAATTTTACATGAGAAATTTACATGAGAATTTGAAATAATTTTATTGCAAACTCAAATTAAAGTTTAATATCTATCAAGCCATTTAATTAAAGGCAGTTTAGTTTTATAAAGAACACTTTAAAACGTTTTGCAAAGCGTTTGTGTTTGAATTTTACATTAAATAGAAGCTTATATTACGTATAATAATATACCTAACATATGTTTTGGGAAATTGATAATTTTGTAATTAAACATGATATTTTTAGGCGATTTTTCATTTGTATAAGAATATTCTTAAAAAATTACCGTGTTACCATAACAACTACTTCCGATACTTTATGTTCGGAAAATACAATGGTTTTGTCAGGAATGCGAGGGTTTCTGCATGCATGTATTTTCTAGTCATGCATATTTGAATCTACATGTATTGTCTGTTGTATCTTTGATATGAGGAGTGCCTCGCATGGGATCTCGAGTCCCGTTCGCACTCCTGCCGTTTTGCATGGTCACTATCCAAGAAAAGTATTTAAAACGAAAAGTTATTTATTTGACTATTTAGCAGGTACTTTAAATAATTGCTTTCTAGAAGGTTTGAGTATTTATCAATTTAGTTAAGCGAATATCCTTTGAGAGACTTGCATGTTGTTAACATCACTACAAATTATTGCAATTAAATGTCAGTAAGATGAAGTGAGATGAAACCTTATATGAACACAATAAAAAATTGTTCCACTTGCAGAGAAATCTTGCATGGCGTGTAAGCTCGTACGAACAAGCCTATACCACCGTCCACGAAAAAACTAAAATTTATTTTTTTTAAATTTATATCCCAAATTTTTTTATGAATGGTAATTGCCACCTCTTCTCCAACTGATGTTTTCCTTAATAGGTTAATTATATATTCTGCACTTTTTACATTATGTGTTATTTTACTCGGTGGATGATTTCTACAAATGATTGAAAAAAACATTGTTGTATTCTTCACAGCGTACCGTAGGTAAAGAGCAATATCTTCCTTAGTCCTTTGGGAGGAATTCGCGGCGAGCACGGATATTTATTCGGTAAGTTTCAGGTCAGGCTAAAGTCGAAAATACTTTAACTGTGTCATTTACACAATTTTTAAAAACCCGGCAAGCAGTGTTGACCCATTTGGAAAACGATATGGATAAAGATGAGATCAATACGTACAGGAGAAACATTAACACAACTTTGCAGCATAGCTCAGCTCCGGTTGAAAACATTGAAAATATCCCCAGAAATTCTGGGATTGTTAATGAGTCACTATCATTTGCTTCAAATTCCACAACCTTGAATCAAAACAGTATTTCAAGGAAATCAAGTACGGGTCTTAAAGAAATGGACTTGAGGAAATAAACTGGTCAGTTCGTCCCAAGTGTTTTTTTTTGTCAGCGACGAACACCCCTAATTAAGATTACTGTACTACACTGAACTGATATTAAAAGGACCGGGTATTACGATTACGATTACGATAATTTCTATTGCAAAAATCTACATGTAGATGTGATCAAATGCGCTTTACATCATTAAAGCTTGGCGCACATGATGCGATTTTAGTCGGCCGATAAAAATCGTTTGACATACCGATATACACGATTGAACTGTAGCCGCAATGTTGCCAATTAAATGCAAGCACGTGATCACAGCATGAAAGCTGGTTGGTTTTACTTAAAATTCCACCGATAAAAATCGTATAATATCAAAACATTTTGATGTTGTCCGATTAAAATCGAGCAACAAAAATCGGTTAAAAATGACACCGCACACACAACGATTTTGTTAGTTTTAGTCAAACGATTTTTATCGGTAGCATATTTTATCTTTACAGTGATATTACACTTCTTACTGTGTTTATCTTAATCCATTTGCATGTCACTTTCCCTGAGGAAACCGGAGCACCGGAAGAAAACCCACGACATTCGGCGGCAGAACGTCGACTGTCTCTTTTCACAAAAGTCTGGAGTGACTATTAAAAGGCAATACGTCAGTATACTCAAGAGAAGCTCAGATTGAACCTCCACTCTTTGAGTGTTATAATTTTTAGAGTACAGGCGTTACCCTGAAACAAGTCGAGAGTAGCGAGAGAGCACATCTTCGATCCGACTGCCTGGTTGCCACAAGCAAACTAATTTTAAATCTTTGAATTTGTCATTTATTTCTAGTTGATTTATCTTCTGCTGTTTTTCGCACTGTTGCCCACGCTGGTTGTTTATTTCGGATACGATGTTAAAATTAAACGTGTAATAAACGAAAAAGCAACCTTCATAAGTTGCATACATGCAAGAATAGTTTTTGTAGAAATTGCCTAAAATTATCTCCACCCTAACTTCACTCATTCTTTTGTTCATCATTTGGCGCAATCGTGAAAAGCTAAACTATATTTTGTATAGACCACTTAAACGGTTGATAATGAAAGTTTCGTTTTAGAGGACAAATATCATGCTTGCATAAACATTCGTGTATTTTATAATACGATTTGATGATCCCCAAGCCGACGGCGTGAAGCGCCATGCGAGGGTATTAATTCCCCCCGGCTATTTACACCCGGGGGAACGAAAGCATTAATAGCCAAGTCTAAAGTTTATCAATATATAATTAATGTTATGCATTACCGGCATTAAGTGCCTATCGATATTATTTAGACTGTGTATATTCATTAAACATTGACTGTATAAGGAGCTGCACCACAGAGTACAGAATAGATGACTACACTCAATACAAAGAGCGAAAAATTGCATCAGAGTAATAAAGCGTAAACAACTATTAAACAGAAGCGGGTGTTCACCGTGTTTGTATGGCGTTTTAATGCAAAGAAAATAACTTGCGAGACTAAAGAAATCAGTTGAGTCAGAGCTCTTTATTTAATTAAACAAGAAAGACGAGGAGATAGCTAACGTGTTATCGCCAATCGCTTGGCTCGCCAACAAGCTTTATGCAATAGAAGAAAAACTATGAGGTTGCCAACGCGTACCGTATCAGGGGCGGATCTAGGATTTTTCGTACCGTAAAAATTTTTTTGGCGGACGGACCGTTATCGGCGCAAGGCGTGGTCTCGAATCGCCGTGGTCGACTCCAGGCGGGGTGGGAGAGGGGGCGCTAAATAATTTTTAGGCTGATAGTACACCGCTGAATTTTTAGAATTTTCCGTACGTAAAATGCGAATTCTGATAAGGTAAGTTTTTGTCTGTTGATTCATGCGAAAATTATGTAGTTCCAAGAGGGGTGCGACGGAATCTGTTTTCTAAGCATCTTTTGGATGTTCATCCTACGGCCTAATAAGGACACGACTACAATAGATACTGCTTTATTAGTATTCTTTATATAAAGAATGCTAATTAGGAGTGTTTTATCAGCTTGAAAGCCACTGCACGTGATATATTATTGTTGACATGATTTGCCAATAAGCTTATAAATTAATGAGTGTTTGAATTTCTTATAAAACATTACTGCAACCTTACTTTTAAAATTACGGAGCTTTAGCAGCGACGACGAGTACGACTACAAGTACGAGAATTGCTCGCGTGCGAGGAAATCACCACAGTCGTTTTCGTTTCCGTTCAAATGTTGCTTTTATAGCAGTAGACAAATAAGGAAAGAAAAAGTTCATATAAACTAAATTTCCTGCAGGCCAAAATCCCCTACAAAATGTTCAAATAAGTCAAAACATTAAAAACAAGCTAGATACTTAATACTAATAGATTATTTGCGCCGGATAAACGTTACAAATTATTTTTGAAAAACAAAAAAGCAAGCTCTCTTTGGTTTTTCGAAAAGTCGAAGTGAGGACTACGAGATTTTTTCAACGACTTTTTCGCGTCAGAACGGTATGGCGTAAGCATATACATCATGCGTTTCGCTTGACAAATCAGTTATCTCGTACTCGTACTCGCTGCTAAAGCTCCCTGTTGTTCACAAGAAAGGGGCTACCTCAGGTCCACACTTCTGATAAACTGCGGCATTTACAAAATGGAGCTGTGCGCATTATCACTATAAGTGGGGATATAATGTTCGCTCCTGCGTTCTTCTCCAACACCTAAACCGTAATATCTTGGAGACTCGTAGAAACCAGCAACTTGCTACACTAATGTTTAATTAAAGTCCGAAATTCAATGGTCCCTCGCTCCATATCAAATATATTTCAAAGAACCGATGACGTACACAATTACGAAATGAGACAGGTGCAAAATTACTTATAAACGCTTACAGTATAAAACCAAACACTATAATTTCAAGAAAAAATCATTTAGTTACAGTGGTGCGGTGGCTTGGAATAGTTTACCACCTTGTGATTTTAAAATATCTCAAACTAATGAACTATGTATCCAATTTTTCAGAAGTAAGTTTTAATTAGAACGAAAGTATAATAATAATTTCCTATTGGAATAATTTTTATATATAGGCTACTGTACCAGTACGGCCTATTCAAAGATCACTTAGAGTTTCTCTCTGTATGTAGTTAGTTTTGTATTTGTGATTAATAACCTCCTTCTGGCCATTTCTTTTGCCGTATTACTTTGTTGGTGGATCTGCTGAGCAAGGACATTTGTTACGCTGAACGTAAAATTCGACAAAAAATGATTTGAAAATGAATGTATTAATGCACCACTTGATGTTTTAATCACTTTTAGATCATAATTTGACAATTAATATAATCATATCTTTATAGATTGATTCGATATCAATAACGGTTCCGCCATAATATTTTTTATTGAAAATAATTTCCAATCAATTAAAATTAATCATTACTTATATAATTACATTTCAGTCACAAATCGAAACTATATTCATCATTTTCATTACCAATTTACAAACACTCTTGATATAGATGTTTTTGTTTAAACACTTTTAAGCCAATAAAGCTGTTGAACCTCGTGAGCGTTCAAAGCTTTTTTGAACAACTTTACTTCATCAATGAACCCTGAAAAATAACCGCCGTAGTCGTAAGATCCATAATTCGTGCCATATTTGGTTTGCCCAATCACAACCTCTGAATTTTTTGTCACGATTTCGCCATGCAAACTTTCGCTAAACTTAAGGTGGCTGTCAAGGTAAAATCCAACTTTCTTGCCATTATACACCATGATAAGATGGTGCCAGTGATTGGAAAATACCGTAGTTATGTTGTCCCAAGCCTTCGCTGAATGAGATGTCACAATAGCCGCACCAATGCGATTTTCATTGCTTTCTGTTACACCTCTTGTAATTCGCATTTCCCAACTACCTAGTACGACCTTAGTCTTGTTACGAACTACATCAGTGTATACTGCGCCGTTGTTGATTATACCCGCTGTACTTCTTGAAGTGCTTTGAAACCAAAGACTAACGGATAATTTCGAACCCCATTTATAAGCATTTAGGCTAGGTATACGGAGTTTACGGGACGATTCGAAATCTGCTGCTCCATTCAGAATGCCAGATAATGGATGCGGTTGTGGGAAATTTCCGTATTTCACAGCATTGTTTCCAAAGCATACATCACGAAATGATCCGTCACACTTGTAGTAGGCAATGACATCTTTACTACTGCAAGGATCACGTTCTACAATATGGGCTACAAAAGAGAGTGTCACTGAATAAAATCAGTCAATCGTGGACCTTAATTTTCGTGAATACCACGATTTTACTGAATTATTTCATTAGCGCATTTTACTATCTTCAATTGCCATAACCAGTTTGCTTCCTACTTGAAAGTAGATCACTTTGACTATAGAGCCTCGTTTTCGTGTATGCGACATTTAAGGTAATTCCGCAGTAATTGTTCCCGAAATGAGAATGTGCTGAAACTTCCCAGGCATGGAGTTTATGATATACTTAAAGTAAAATCACACAAAAAAGTCGGGGTCACCGAACTCGTTAAGAATATATAACAATCACAATATATCACCTTTACCCCAAAATATGGCGCTATCTTGAGGCTCATTACCAGTACCAGCAAAATCACAACAGCCCGATATTTATTGACGTTTTTAGCGCGGATTTTGCTTTAGCAAACCTATCTTGTAATTATTTGTGAAATGAAACTACTAACGTGTACAATTCTTTTGCACATTTCTTTACATATATTTCTTCGAGAACATGCATTGATAAAGGATATTTTTTCAAATGATTTTTCTTTTAATTTCGGATATGAAATGCATTAAAGAAATAAATTATCAGTTAAAAAACGGGGGTCACCGATCTTTTTAGGGAATTGTGGCATTTCTTAATGGAATACAAGTAAATGAATATACTACAGACACAGGGAACCCTACAACGTCGTTCCCAGGGCTTTTCCATTTTTGTCATTGGGAAGGCGGGAAAAGGCCCTGGAACCGGCCGGTCACATGACAGAGGAGGACGGACAAGCAATTAGCGAGTTGTCACGTGAGCTCTCGACCAATGAGATCGCTCTATTTGCCATCGTATTTTCTACAGAATTTGGGTAGAGAAATTTGTTTTCGATGGAAAATAAATCGAAAAAAAACATTAATATTAAAATTTTCATGCAAAATTTCAAGTGTAGTAGTACTACTGCTAAAGATCTTGTGATATCTGCAAAAATCTCTAAGGTAAACGTTATTTTCATTGTTATTTTGATGTTTGAAATTAGACGACTCCCCGTGACGTGTTGACTCAAGTCTAAATATGTTTACAATGTTTAAAATGAAATATCTAGAATTCCCATGGTTCGATTTTCCTCCTTTTTGGCAGTCGACAAGAAAAAATATAAGCTTTAAATCTGCTGGAATGATCTCGGTGATCCCCCGGCAGTTTTCGAGATATTGGCCATTGAAGCGACTATTGTCAACTCGACGTTCGCTAAAATGGCGTCTAATACCTTGGAAAGAATTTGCGCCATCAAAGATTATATTTTCAATGAATTTTTGTTAAAGTGTTAAAATATTATTTACAAGACTTAAGAGTTGTTTCAATATTTTTGTAGAATTTACATCTGTGCGATTTTCAAAGTTTTTTCTGTCTTTGGCCGACGCGACTGGATCGTGTACATATTCCCATACGAGCTGATCGCCTGATGCTGGGGTTTTTGTTGCAAATCGAGCTTCGGAATCCTCAGCATGGGCAACTCAGTGTTATAACAGCCCATATAAAACCATCAGAGAGCTCCACTTGTTTTAAAACAATAAAACAAGTTTTTTATTGTATTATCATGTACATCATATATCAAATTATAATTATCATTTTGGCATGTTATTGTGGTCAATTTATTGAAATTTAATAAATATTATGCACGAGTCAATTCCAGGAGTAACCACCCCCCACCCCCCGGGAACACAGCCGGGCATTTGATGACTGGTTACAATAGTGCACAATTAATATAAGGTAAACTTGGTATAGTAACTCACACGCACTGCTCACACGTCATAATGAGGATTGCAACAATTCAGCAATAACATGCTATTTTCACGAAGTATTGGAGCCTGACAATCTTGTCTTTCGAATGCGTGCATATTTGTTTACTCAGAGAGATCTTCACTCCACGACAGTCAAAGAGTCATTGAAGCCACGCCTGGAATTAGGCGCTCAAACCCATGATGCTTTGCGGCCTGCTTGTCCGACCTCCTCTGGTCACATGACTTTCAACACCCAGATATAGTGGGTGTAATAAATTATAATAATAATGAATTAGAAAAT